GGTTATTGGGGCCCACCCCCCCCCCCCCCGCGCCCCCCCTTTCTCACCCTCGATCACTCCCCACACAAACAGCGCGCGGGCGGGAGGCTGTGTCAAGCTTAGACGCACGGGCTGGAGAAGACCCCGCCGTTGCCGTTGTCGTCGTTGATTGAGTCGCCGCCGCCGCCGCCGCCGCCACCACCCTCGATATAGCCCACTGCGTACGAGATCGCCGTCATGGTCCCTGCCGTTGACGGACGGGGTGCAAGGGGGGTGTCACACGGAGAGGCGACACAGGCCTGAGGGGCTGGCGCCGCAAAAGCTATGTGGATTGGAGTCTGGGGCACTGACGGCTGCGGTTAGGCCGAGCACCCGAGCACCGCGCGATGCTAGAGTCTCTGCTTGGAGTGTGCGGACCGTATTCTGAGTGTGCCCCCGACGCGATGCCGACGACGCGGAAGCGCGGATTGTAGATGGCGACGCGGTGGCCGCGGTCGGCGACGCCGTCGTCGACGATCAGGGAGAGCATGACGGAGCGAGCCGGGGTGATAAAGTCGAACTTGGCCAACGTGACGGGGCCGCCCTTGCCTGCACACAGAGCGGGAAAGGGCGCGGATGAGACTCGAGGGAGCCGACACAGACGATGTCGCGCGGTCTGGTGGGAGGCGGAGTCGTGTGACCGCGGTGCGTTGCCGTTGGCGGGCGGGGCATTACACGCGCACCGCCAAACATCAGGTTCTCGCCGGCGGTGCCTGTCCAGGTGCCGTACCGCGACATGCGGTCGAAGGGCGAGGAGCCGTCGGTGCCCTGTGGGGTGCAAAGGTAGGCCTTCAGTACAACCCTACACTCGGCCCAGTATTATAATAGCTCCGGTGACGCGTATGGGCTGGCTTGCGACGATACCGAGGGGGTGGTCAGAGGCGGGCCGAAGGTGCAGTGTCCCGCTCACCGTGTGCGAGACGAGCCCTGCACCCGAGTCCGCGACGTGGTCCTTGGCCGCCTGCGTGAGGCCTCTGGAGAGGGTCGTCAGCGGCGCGAGCGGCCTCTGCTCGCGGAGGAAGTCGATGGCCTCCTCAAAAGCAGCCTTGCCCTCCTCCATGCGAAGATCTGTGCTTCCGGGCAGGTCGAGCACGGTGGCGGACCGAAAGTACGGGAGGAGCTGCGCGAGCGTGTCGGCATACACGGAGGGAGTGGTCCGGGCGATGTTGTGCTCCGCAAAGAGATCCCTGGCAAACTGGTCCTCGGCGCCGCTGAGATCTGCCGCGGCCTTGAGGACGAGTGCGTCGGAGGAATGGATGGTCTCGTCGATCGTGGCGAAGACAGGGCCGAGGATTGGCAACGACTGGATGACGACTGACGATGACACGTTGACGACAGGCGCACCGAGAACGAGCGTAGCGAGCATCATATCGTTCGCGAATGGCAGCGCAAAGAGCGCAAGGAAGGATTCATCGTGTTACGCCGGGTTTCAGCATCCTTTTTTCTCTTTTCACTCCCGTCGCTTGATGTCGGGGGGTCGGCCGAGCACGCGCTCCACGTGGCTCGCGCGATCCGGCTCCTGGCATGGCCTGCCGGGTTGTCGTTGTCGGGCGGGCGGCGGACGGCTCCTACGACCTACGCTGCGCTCTCCTGATTGACAGAACAACAACTCTCTCTGTCTCTCTCTCTGACCCATGGCGAGGGCGCGCTCTCCCGCCTACAAGCTCGCCCCAGTCGACAAGCGGTGCCGCCAGCAGCCGCCGGTGCTGTTGAGCTCCGAGCGAGGCTTCTTTTGTTTTAGGTTCGTTGTTAGCACATCAAGGGACAAGGCACAGAGCTCACACAAATCGCCCACCGCCGTTCTCAAGCTGCGCCGCCTCGCGCGCAAAGTCGCGCGCGGCAGCGTTGACCGCACGGCCTACTCGCCCAAGTACTCGCTCTCTTTTATGTCCCACCATGCAGAGCGCATCTCTCTCTCTGTTGTGCGCGAGGCGTGAACCGCGCCATTCGCTCTCACCTGGCAACCCTGTCTGCACGTCTCGCGCGCGCGTGAACAGGGCTCCAGGCCCCAAATGACGAGTGAGTGTTAGAGTTGTTTGGTATTGCTAAAAATCTCTCTCTCAAATCACAGCGGGAGGAAAGCGGCGAGTCGCAATTCCAGGGGTCGTTGTGGCGGGCCACCCTGTCCAGAAAGGCACAGGTGCCAATCTGGGGTCTCTCGACCGAGTCTATGAGTCCTGGCAGCCGCTCCCGGTGGTGGCAAGGTTAGTTAAGCAACCGAGCGGCCAGTGAGGGAGGGCGAGACGATCGAGGGGTCCTGTACCATGCGGAATCGACCCTATCAAGTGCTCAAGTGCTCAAGATGGTGCGGGGGTACGGGTGTTCCAGGGGGTCACGACACGCACCGACCCTTCACGAACCGAAAGGCTGTGCCCGGGGAAGGCACAGTAATCCGGCACGTGTTGGGCGCCCCATCCGTTTGGCGGCTAGGTCGGCTCAGGGCCCCGTCCACTTCCCTCCCACTTGGAGGCCGGCTGCGGCGCTGTCGCAACGCTGTACTCCAAGTCTTTAAAAATAATTTAAACACAAACACAAACAAACAAACACTCTCTCTACTAAAAAAAGAAAGACGTATTTCGCGCTTTCGCTCCTTCGACCGCGCCGGTCCATTCTCGCGCCGCCATTCGCATGATCGCCGTTCGCCCCGCGGCGCCCGACAACGTGCTGCACGGCCCCAAGCAGCTCTCGCAGGAGGCGCTGCTCGCGGTTCAGCGCAGCGGCATCACGAGCGCCCGGCGGCTCCTCTGCATGAGCGAGCTTGAGCTGGTCGAGGCGCTCGACCTCTATGTCAGCGACGTCCGGGCTGTCGTCGCGGCGGCGGCCGCGGTGTGCGCGCCGCCGCCGAGCACGGCGCAGCAGCTCATGCGCGAGGCTCCGCTTCCGACGGGGCTCGCCGCTCTCGACGGCCACCTCGGCGGTGGACTGCGGCCGGGAAGCGTCACTGAGATTGTTGGTGCGAGCGCTGTCGGCAAGACGGAGCTCTGCCTGGCGGTGGCTGCGGAGGCGCTGGTGACAGGGCACGCGCGCGGCGCCGGCGTCGTCTACGTCGACACGGAGTGCGGCTTCAAGGCGACGCGTCTGCTGCAGCTCGTCGAGCGCTCGCTGCAGCGGCGGGGCGTCCAGGCGGACCCGCACGAGCTTCTGTACCGCGTGACTGTGCTCGCGGCGGACGAGTGGGAGGGGTACGAGCAGTGCCTCTCTCGTATTCGCGCCCTCTTCCAGGACGACACGCGCCTCGCCACCGGCCTGCTCGTCGTCGACTCGATCGCCGCCCCCGCGCGAGCCCACTTTGAGAGGGCGCGGCTGTCGGAGCGGCAGCGGCTGCTCTCGTCGCACGCGGCGCTCTTCAAGTCGCTGGCGGAGGAGGAGGGGCTCGTCGTGCTCGTGACGAACCAGGTGCAGGGCTCGAGCGGCTCGGACGACGGCGGGCTGCGCGAGCTCAGCCGCGTGGGAGAGCCGGAGGCGGAGCCCCCCCCCCCCCATGCCCGGCAAGGAAGAGAGAGGCAGGCGGGGGAGAGAGGAGAGAGAGAGAGCGAGAGAGAGGAGAGAGAGAGAGAGAGAGAGAGAGAGAGAGAGAGAGAGAGAGAGAGAGAGAGAGAGAGAGAGAGAGAGAGAGAGAGAGAGAGAGAGAGAGAGGGAGAGGGAGAGGGAGAGGGAGAAGGAGAGGGAGAGAGAGAGGCCCGTTCGAGCCTCGCCTGCCGCCGCGCAGGACGAGATGAGCGCCTGCCTCGGCACCTCGTGGGCGCACTGCGTCAACGTGCGCCTCGTGCTGCACTCGGCGGAGCAGCCGCCGGCGGCGGTGGGGGCGACATTCGCGCCGCCGAGGCGGCAGCTTCGAGTCGCAAAGGCCAACTTCTGCTCCGCTGCCAGCTTCGACCTCGACGCGACGCTGGAGGGACTCGTGCAGGCGGCGGGCTGAAGGCCGCCGCGCCGGAGCGCATCGCCCGAGCGCGAGGAGGAATCACAAGGCCGCGCCACTGTCGCGGGTGGCGGCCCCGCTGACGCCTCCGTTTCCGTTATATACATCCAGTCCAGTCGCCGGTGTGTGTGTCTGCATCGGTACTTATTTTGCAACATACATGCTTTTCCCTCGTGTTGTCGTCGTGCTCTCTGCCCGCCGTGTACCCGAAGTCCAAGAGGTTGTCAACAGTCACAACAGAGCGTCTCCCCGGGGGCTACACCCCCCCCCCCCCCTCTTTCTCGCGGACTTTGTAGTCTACCTAGACGCTAGAGCCGTCTAGTGGGCTAGTGCTAGTGGGCTAGTGCTGTCCGTTGAGTGCGCTCGACGCAACACGCCGCCGCATGTGTGCCATAACACAACATCCCTCAGCACCTGCGAGCCTGCACGCACGAGAGACTGAGCGTGCAACCCTTTGATCTCGCGTCATCTCGGCTCATCTCGAGCAATCGCCCCCCTTGTCCGCGCAGCAGCTCCTGCGTTCGTCGACCTTGTCAGCATGCTCGCCCCAAAGTCACCCCAGCAGAACACCGTATCATGCCTGCCAGCATCTACCTCCGTCATAGTGCCACGACGTGCGGCCTAGAATTAGCACACGCGCCTCTGCTCGCATACACTCATACAATGAATTGTCGTCACCCGTGAGTGCGAGTTAGGGCTAGCTGCTGGCGGCTAGCCTGTGAAGAGGGCGTCCATAGACACCTCACTAGACCCCACACACGGTCTCGTCTGTGCCTCGCCGGCCGGCGAGATTGCTAGAGGTGGAGCAAGCCTGCTCTAGCCTCGCATGTTACTTCCTGTCGTCTGTTGTTTGTTGTGCCCTTGTTTGTTCTCTTGGCACCTTGGAGTGCTGGGGGGGGGGGCGACAGGGAGGACGTGGCCCTGAGTTACGTGTTACGTGTACGCCAACTCAGGGTGTGTGGCAGCCAGCTGGCTGTGTGTCTTGTGAGCCTGTTTGTGTCTGTGTGTCGCTCGTGCGTGCCGTCATCATCTGTCCCGCGTCCACCCATACCGCGTTGGTGTCCAGTCCGAGCCTGACTGTTCTTCACCTTTCTACCTACCTACCTACCCCCCTGCGCGCCGGGCCTTCTAGGCCCGCGGGTAGTCTCCCTCCAGCCCCAGGGCCTCCAGGGCTCGCACCTCAACCTCTCATAGACCAGCGCAAAGCGCAATCGGAAGTATTTTCTTCTCATAACAAGGCTGTGAACACAACACTTTGTGTGAACACAACTATGACGTATGAGGTGGAGATGATGGAGGCGCTCGCCGCGTGCGGCGATTGAGCGCCTCCCTCTCTCTCCGGCTGCGCGCCTGACCGGTGCGGCCTCCGAGTCGGCGTCTAGCGCGCGCGATAAGGTTTTTGCTCGCCTTCCCTGGGATCCCGTGTTGCGTGACTCTGTGCGATTTCGGGCCCGGGGTTGTGCGTTTATGTGAACACAACTAACTGCACTGGTGAACGCCATACGAGGTATTTTCTTCCCTATCATTGAAAGTAGCAGAGGGGTCGGACCACACGCTCTCCGAATGGGATTTTCTGCCCTGCCGCCTGTCGCGGCCCCGCCTGCCTCCCGGGGCCCGCCCGGCCGTGCCATCCGCCGCCGGACCGCCCGGCGGGTCCAACCCGAAGCGGGCGACCGGCCGTTCGCACCGCTCGGCCGGCGGGGCGAGCCCCGCGGCCCTCGATCGCTCGCCCCGGGACGTGGCCCGACCGGCCCACGCGCACGTCCTGGCCTCTACCGCCGCTTTCGGCGGCGCAATTTGCGCCTTCATCGCTCTCTGGATCCTCCTGGCACCCATCGGACTCTTCCCGACGGTCGGCGGCACCCACTCCGTGCACTTTGAGTCAGACTCGCTCTTCGGCAGGCACGCTCTTCGGCAAAAAGTCGCCGCCGGCCGTTCACGCCGAGCCAGCCAGTTGCCGGCTCGCACGGCAGCCTCTTCCTCTCGACCAGCCTCAACTTCGACACGGTCATCATTTTGTCGCTGCGTGCTCGTGGCGAGCCGGGCGGCGGTCAAAGTTTGCCCAGACGAGCGCCAGGCGATAGCAAGGTCTCTGTTCGCCCTGTGCATGTCAGGCCAGGCTGCAGCGGGGCACTACCATCGTGCTACGCTGTTGCAGCCTGACCTTTCCCACTGTGCACAGCCGCCAGAGCACCACCACCGCCCGGCATCGTGTCACGGCGAGCTCCTTCTGCACCCGTTCGCGAGGCTCTCGCGCTGGCACACTTCGGCCTTCCGCTGCTCGCGTTCGGCGAGCTCTTCTCCGCACTCCTGCCACGGTGCCGTCGCCACACACCTTCTGGCCGGCCTGAGCCATGCGGACTCGACCTCTCTCCCTCTCTGGAGCACGCCACGGGCCGCGACGGCTGCTGGCAGCCGGCCGGCGTGAGGAGGCAGTTTGCCGGCACAGTCGAGCTGGAGTATCCGCTTCTTGATGCTTCTGCGGTCAAGCTCGACCTTATGTGACATGATATGCCACAATAATGCATGCTCTCACCCCTCAAAGTGTCGAAGTTTACCGGTGACTCTCCGGTGGCCCGATAGTCCCGTGTGCCTTTCTTCAAACGAACGCGCTTCGAGGTCGACAATCGCTAAGCTGCTTATGGGGCACCGCTGCGACTCCCTTGGGGATGCCTGAGGCCACCCCAAGCACTCCCTAAGGCTAAGCCTTACGTGGACGATTTCAACCCTACTCTGTGTTTGTTCGTCTACGCACATTAGCAACTTTGTGCTCATGTCAACGCCACGCCAGCGCTAGCCCATTCAACCCCGCCCGCCCCATTGGGGGCGGGGCCCGTCAAGGGCCTCACTCTAGTCTCAATAACAAGGCTGTGAACTGCCACCTCGGCGACGATGAGCCCGACCCTCGTCCTCTTCTCATGCCAGGCGGTCTTCCCCTCTCCTGGCTGCGGCAGGCCGCCTCCGATTGCCTCCGGCATCGCCGGCGCCGAGAGGCTGGACCTCTGGGTCCGCGACTCCTCGCAGCCTGGCGGGTGGGCGTCCCGCAACTACTGGCTGTCGCTGCCTCCAGCCTACTCGCGGTGGTCGCCTCAGATGCTCGTGCTCGACTTCCACGGCTTCTACGACACAGCCAGGAGAGAACGGAGGGAAGACCGGCTCGCCTTCTTCGTCGATGAGTGGCAGCTCGACATTGTGGTGGCAGAGCCACACGGATCTGGCGACGCGTACTCGGGCGACTCGCGTGCGTGGAACGTCGACGGCAATGGGCTCAACACGGAGCCCGGTCCGCAAGGTCCGACCTGCCTCGCGCCGCGGTACAATGGCGACGGCTGGAACGACCGGTGCGCTGCAAGTGGTGACAGGAAGATCCGGCACCCGCACGTGCCTTGCTCGACCCGCCAAAACCATATAGGTACAAGTGCTACGACAGCTGCGCGGGCTGCGACTCGACCTGGGGCTGCAACTTTGCGTCGTGCATGGACGACCGCTCCTTGGTCGCCTCCCTCTTCCGGCGGCTGAGCGCGACGCTCTGCCTCGACCTGGAGGAGCAGCCCACCGGTCGGACCTGTTGAGACCAGCACCGTCCTGGTGCATTTATGTGCAAGGCTGTGGCGGTAGGCCATCCACCTGACCGGCATCTCCGCGGGCGGGCTGATGGCGTACCAGGCGGCGCTCGACTTCTCCGACTTGGTGGCGAGCGCCGCGCCCGTCGCCGGCTCGCGCATCTGGGGCTACAACCGGGCGCCGAGGCACCCCGCCCTCGCTGCTCGACCTTGAGATAGCCGAGAGATGGCCGAGATGCGACCGAGACGTGGCCGAGAGATAGGCACCCCGTCTCGCTGCTCGACCTCCACGGCTTCGACGACATCAACGTGGTGCCCGGTTCCACAGCCTTTGTTGTTTCTCACTCGCACAGTTCTGCGTAGGCTTCGACGACGTCTACGTGGTGCCCGGTTCCACAGCCTTTGTTGTTTCTCACTCGCACAGTTCTGCGTAGGCTTCGACGACGTCTACGTGGTGCCCGGTTCCACAGCCTTTGTTGTTTCTCACTCGCACAGTTCTGCGTAGGCTTCGACGACGTCTACGTGCCCGCCAACGCGTCCAATGGCTTCGGCGGTGCGCCCGACGGCGCCACCACTTCGCACGACCGCTTCTTCTACCACGAGGTGCCCGCCATCACGAGGCAGTTTGCGCGCGCCGCCGGCTGCAACCTGACCGCCAACCGGCCCCACCCGACCAAGTTCGACGGCTTGCGGCGCCTCTCGTGCAACGAGCCGCACGGCGCGTGCGCGAGCGGCGCGTCGGTCGTCCAGTGCGTAGGAGAGTGGGGCCACACTTGGCCGCTGCACCATCTCCACCCCTTCGCCTACGCGGACCTCGTCCTCGGCTTCTTCTCGCGCCACCCGAAGGCGCGCGGCGTGCACGGCGCCGCTTTCCCGCCGGCATGGCTGCTCGGCGAGGACGCGGGCGAGGGTCAGGGCGAGGGCGAGGGCGAGGGCGCCGCAGTTCGGGCGGTGCAGAGGTGACCGCACAAGCATGGTTTGCGGTGCGCATGACTCATGGGGACATGGCCGGTTTGCGTTCGTGTCTCATGGCTCAGCACGATGTGCGATGTGGTTCGTGCACATTCAAACGAACGACCCGATCTCGCCCTTACACGTATGTGTGTACGTTAGTACGTACCGCGTTAGAGGCAGACACAAAGCCGCGTGTACGCACACGGGGTCCTCGGACCTCTCGCGCTCGCGCGCATGGGGTCGCGCTTGCCTCTGTCGGCCCATCATCCCGCTGGGCCCACAGTGTCCGGGCTCCGCCTCCGGGGCCCAAAGTGCTGCGAGTGGGTGGCACGTCAAGCGGTCTGGCAAAACCGTCCGCCCCTACGTACAGCAGCAGGCGACACGGCTGAGCCCGAGCGACGTGTGGCGCAGCAGAGGGGCTCTCGCACGCACCCCCTACCAGCCGCACCCCGGCACCCCGCACCCCGCACGTCGCCCTCTTAACACTTAAGGCGCAGCGGCAGGCGAGTCGAGCGCCAGTCGCTTCGCCCCGCCCGGGAAAGCCTCGGGCCCACCTAGCGCGCGCTTGTCGCCCACCATCGTGTCGCTCCGAGACGGCAGCGGTGGGCACGCCTCTCGCTCGCGCGCATCGAGCTCGAGCATAAACGGCGTGGCGATAAAGTCCGGCGGGTCGTCGGCAGCCTCCTGCGACGTCTCCCGCTCCGCATCCGAGTCCTGCTGCACCTCCACCTCCACCTCGTCCGGCCCGTCGTCGCCCTCGTCCTCGCTCTCGTCCTCCTCGTCGGAGGGCTCCTCGCCATCTGCAAAGCCGCGGCTGAGGAGGAAGGCGCGCACCAACTTCGGCGCGATGTTCTCACGCGGCTCCCACGTGTCGTCCGCGGCGCCAAAACCCTTCCAGCGGATCTTGTAGAAGCGGCGGCGCCGATCGAGGATGCGGTCGACCTCGTACACGTCCTCGCCATCGACAGGCCCGTTGCCAACGGCGCCCGCGTCGTCGCTCTCGGCGCCGCTCTCCTCGGCGCTCGAGGAATCCACCTCGCTCTCTGCCGCCGGCGCCTTGGCCCGCCCCCGCTTGCGGCTCTGCCCCGCAGCCTGCTGTTGCTGCAGGGGAGGCGGCGGCGCCGCCGCCGCGGACACCGCCTTCTGCTGCGACGGTGCCTGCTGCGGGACCAATGTTGCCTTCTGCTGCACCGGTGCCACCGCGACAACTGCCGGCGAGGCGGAAGCCGCGGCCGCCCTCGCGGCCGCCCTCGCCGCTTCCGCCGCGCGCTCTGCCATCCGCTCTGCCACCCGTGCCGCCGACCACTCCACCGACGCTGCCCGC